CACGACCCCTAGCTCAGGACTGTATGGACGTTTACTGCCTTCAGACGAGATCTCCCCTCTCAGAGGGCTCCTCTCTAGGGGGACATCACTGAGGGCTGGGGAGCCTTCCAAAGCCACAGGAAGCCAGGGATGAGTGGAGAGATGGTGGGACACAGCCCGCGGGGTGAAGGGGTGCTGGGGAGAGGGGCAAGGAGGTGAGTTGGTGAAGAATGGCCCTGGGGCGTGTGATGAGGGAGGACCCCTTCGGGCCTGTGCCCAGCTGCAGCCACAGCTTTGACCTCCCTGCCCTCTCAGGGGTCGAGGTGACCGGCCAGTATGAGATGAGCAACAAGGCCCAGTTTGCGTGGATCGAGGTGACCTTCAAGAACCCCCAGCTACAGGTCCGCGCAACCCCTGAGCACGTGGTGGTGACCCAGGACAAAAGAAACTCTGCACACAAGTGGAAGGAAACGCTGTTCTTGGTGATGCCCGGGTAAGCCCCAGGCTGAGTCCCAGCAGTGACCGCTCAGGCGGGGTTAGCTGGTGACGGTGGCGAGCCCAGGTCCCCGGGTCATGCGTGCATGCTCTGCAGTGGGCTGTACCCACAGGAGGACAAGGGGGCATCCCCCGCAGGCATCCCCACGTCCTGCTTCCTGCCCGGGACTCTGTGTTTCTCCACAGCCTAAAGATGACCATGGACACGTCGGGACTCCTGCTGCTCAGCAGCCCAGACAAAGTGACCATTGGCCTGATGCTCTGGGATGGCCCTGGGGCAGGGCTCCGGCTCCTGCTGCGGGACACTGATCGCTTCTCCAGCCATGTCGGCGGGACCCTCGGTACGCTGCCTGTGGCTCAGGGCATCCCCAGGAGCGCCCTCTGCCTCCGAGCAGGCAGTGCCCGTCGTGTCCCAATCTCCCAGCCTCCTTCTGCCATTGTCACTCACTGACCCACCCTTTGCTCCTCAGGCCAGTTTTACCAGGACGTGCTCTGGGTGCCCCCAGTAGCAGCAGATGACAGCAAGCGAACACTGAGAGTTCAGGGGCATGACCATTCCGCCACCAGGTGATCAGCGCAAGCCGGGGTGGCGGCTGGGAGCTGGACCCTGAGGGACCCCGCTCCTCTGTCCCACCTAGAGACAGTCAGGTGGAAGGCTGATGTCCTAGACATGACAGCAACCCCACAAAGGATGGCTAACTCAGACCCACAGAAAACACAGCAGCCCAGTGTTCAGTAGGGCTAACAGCGTCGGGGCAGTTGGATATGACCCCTGAACTCCCAGAGCCCTAGACCCTGGAGACCACACATGCCAGGGTCGCTGGGGTGATGGGCCTTGGCAGCTGTGCTGGAGGGCACCCTGCGGGCCCCAAGACACCCCACCTCCACGTTCCTGTCCCCAGCCATCTCTGTGCCCACCGCACTGAGGTTTGCTGACATCCTGTCTGTCTGTCTGTCTGTCTGTCCTTTCTCCATCCCAGAGAGCTCAAGCTGGATTACCAACAGGGGCTTCCGGGCACACAGATTTCCTGCTGGTCTGTGAGGCTGTAGTTCTGATGGGAGGCATCACGGCTCCCCCAACACCACCCCACTGTGCACAGGCGGCTGCCCCCATGGGGCCTGGACTGTGATGGGAGGGGTGTTGCTGCCCATTACAAATAAAGAAAGGTGGTGTGTGTCAGGTGGACATCTCTGGTTGCATCAGCCAAATCCTAGTTCCTCAGAATTGCATCCTGGACACCTAGCATGTTGTTACATCAGAATCTTGGCAGCCCCTCAGAGGCCCACGGTCAGTAAGGCCCATTTAGAGCCCGCAGTCCCATCCCTTCACTTTATAAGCAGGGGAACCAATTTAAAGAGGTTAAAACCCCCCATTTAAAATGTCCCAGCCACCCAGCCGGGGGCTTGGGGCACAAGAACATGGGAGCAGGGGTAGAGGATGATGTATGGTCACTTGGTCCATGGAAGAGCTTTGACTCAAAAACTGAGCAAACTGGGAAGAAGGACTTTGTAGACTGATTCCCCAAAAGCCCTCAGCCCCTTGCAAGAGGGTTTGCACGACATGATTTCCTTCTCGCATGTGCACTCAGGAGTGGGCCTGCCTGCTCACTGCCTTGGAAAGAAGCCCGCACGGGGAGGCAGGGCACAGAGCCCAGGCCCTGGTCCCAAGAGGGAAGCAGGTGGTTCCCAAAACCGCCAGACCCAGGCCCCCAACTCTGAATCCTGGACTGCTGAGGGTCCCTCCTCAGTACACACCCCAGGGCCAGGCACCCCAAAGACCCCAGCCAGTCCCTGCACAGGCCAGGAATACTTAAAAAGACACTTATAATTACTCCACCAACTTCTTAACAAATGACACAAGTCTTTGCCTTACAAATAAAAGGCATAAGGAATAAAACCTGAACCATGAGAACAAGAATAAGAGAAAAGAGCCGAGAAGGCGCTGCATTCAGTCTGAGCCACCAGGGTAAGGAAGCTGCACGGCCCAGTGCTTTGCTTCCGAGCCTCCTGGCGGCCAGGGTGAAGCAGAAGCAAACCAGATCACCTGGGAAAACATTGTTTTCCCAACTCGAGCTCTATAGGGTGTTGGCTGAATGGGCCTTCTCGAAGGGTCAGAGAAGAGGCTGGAGGGAAGGGGTCAGCAGCAGGTTTGCAAGCACACAGGAACTGCTGGCTGGCTGGCTCGCCTGCTGAGGGTGGCTCAGAGCGGCTCAGACCTGAGCTTTGCAGGACAAGAGGGCAGTCCCGGGGGGTCTCCATCGCCCTTACTGTGGGGTCAGCTGAGATATACCGGGTGAGACGGGGCCCACTCCACACTCGCCCCTCCGCACACCAACCCTGGGCAGGGCTGTGGGATTTGCACAGTAGCCGAGGGGTCCTGGGTGACTGTCCCGGCCAGCGGCTGCAGGGCAGGTGTTCTCTCCGAACACCTGGAGGCGGGCTATGCCCTTCGCTGCTTTGTTCACCCAGTACTGCCCAGCACCTGCTTGTGTGAGGCACTGGGCTGAAGGCTGCAGGTACATTGGGCCCCAGGACAGACACTGCCTGTTGTGACGGCCACCACCCAGAGAATGACCAAGTGCCACAGGGAGCCAAAGGAGACATCCCCCTGGGGACTATCTGGGAAGGCTTCCTGGAAGTGGCATGCTTGGGGTTCAGTTCTGAAGAATAAGGAAAAGTTTCCAATGGAAAAGGAGGACGACACCAGGTCTGCAGCCAGGACGCTGAACCCAGTTGAGGGAAGGTGAAGGAAAGCACTGTGGTGCCAGCACCATCCGTGTGCCCCTGGCCACAGCGCACAGCTTCTCTCCGGAAAGCCGGGAGCCTCCAGAGGCCACAAGCAGGGGCGTGTGGGCCTGGGAGAGGAGAGAGCCCACCTGGCTTTGCCCTTTGGCTGGGGACCTCTTCCCGCCCCTCTCCCCACCCACTGGGCCTGGCTGGGAGCTGGAAAGCAGGCGCCTGGGGAGCGTGGGGGGCCAGAGGGGGAACCCAAATGGTGCTGCCTCGGCACACCCCCACCTGGCCGGAGCTTTGGCCCCATTCCACAGATGTGAAACCCGCCCCCCAGTGTGGCTGGTTTGAAGCTGCGCTGCAGCCCGGAACCAAGTTGCGGGCAGGGTCTGCCCACCTTAGGGTCCCTTCCCAGGCCTGGCCCTTTTTGTCAGCCCCACCGAGCCTCTGCCACAGCCACTCAAGCCGTGTCTCACGGGGCCCTCCCTGGAGCACGAACGGCCACCGGTCCGTAGGGGCCTCTGCTAGCCGCCTGGGCCGCCTCTAATGAACGTTTCTCCTGGACTTCTCTCCCCAGAGCCCTCTCCGGGCCCCCTGTGAGGCCCGGGAGGTATGGTTCTGGCTTGGGTAGGGGCCCCAGAGTGAGAAGCAGGGGCACTTCTTAGAACCCATGCCAAGTCTCCCCCAGCCCCACCGGCACTCACGACCCTCTGGCCTTCCTGTGGCCCCTGCTCTGCCATCAGGCAAGGCGCCCACTGCTTCCTTCAACAGGGTGGCTGCCCTCTGCCCAGCTTGTCCTAGCCCCTCAGGCAGAGGGAGGAGCCGGGGCAGGAAGCTTCCCTGGGCAGAACTGGAAGCGGCCTGTGTGTCTGGACCTGAGCGGCGGGGAGCACCTGAGGTGTGGGGTTGATGAAGCTGGAGAGGCCGCGGGTAGGACTTGGGTCTTTGTCCCAAGAGCAACAGGTGAGAGTACCTCGTATACGGTTTCAGGCAGGCGGTGACGGCTCTGCCCCGCAGAAGCTTTCTCTGGAGCAGGGGCACCCAGGAAGGGGCAGCTGCAGTTGCTCAGGTGAGAGAGGGCCGACCAGGCTTAGAGTGCTCGGAGCCCCTTCTCAGGGACCCACTGACCTCCCACCCCTCCCAAGACTTATCATCGGGGCGGAGCAGGTGATCATCGTGAGGTGTGCTGGAGGGGCCCAGGGGTTCCCAGGCCAGCTGGAGGCAAACACGGAGCACACATGCAAATAGGAACTGGGTCATGAAGCTGTGTGCCCCGGGATCCTGGCCCAGAATGTTGGGTTTACCTGCTGAATGGATGGATGGATGCCTAGTGCCTCGGTGGGTGGGTGGGTGAACGGATGTGCTGTTGGCTGGAGGGTGAGAGGCTGGGGATGGAGGGCTGAATGGCATGCACAGTTGGCTGCCAGGGACCCTGCTCCGGAGCCGTAGAAGGACCTGAAGGCCTGAAAGCCCCGACTGGAGCCCCTTAGCCAGGACCCCGGACTTTCCTACCATCCTCCTGGAATCCCATGCACTCAGTCCTTGCCAGCTTCTCGGGGCCCCTTTGTTCAGTCAGATCTCCATTGTTTTCTCCCCAAACCGTCATACACTGGATCCCAGAGTGCCACCCCAACCAGCCTGTCCCAGCCACACAGGTGGAGGGCCTAGGAAGTTGTCCTGAACGGCCTGAAGCTGGAACATTCCATACCCTAGTGGCCGGCCCCTCCTTTGCGCTGCCTCGGGCCCCAGCTGCCTGTTCCCTGGCGCAGGGGCACAGAGAGGCACACGGAGGCTCCTGGCAGTCTTGCCCTCAGCCTTTATTGTCCGAGCCCTCCCTCGGTCCCCCTCTGTGTCCCTGTCCACACGCCAGGTGAGCCGAGGCAGCCATCTCAGCAGGAGCTGGCATGTTTGCTCAGAACAGATCGGGGACAATGTAGTCGGTGTGGACACCATCAATCAGCCCCTGCCCATTGTTGTGGACGAACCAGCAGGCAACCTTCGTGCCGGTGCCGACATCCTTCCTGTAGTCTTTCTGGGAGCCCCTGAAGGGACAGAGAGAGGGGCCCTGGTACCCAGGCGGGCAAGACTGCACTCTGGACCCGAGGTTGGCAAGGATGTGAAGGTGCCAATTCTGGGCGTCCTGAGCTCTTTGGTCACGAATGGGGTCGCCTGATTACTCCTCTTAGGGGGCCCAGTTTTCTGTTTCCCTGATTGGGAGGGGCCTTGGGGGGCCAGAACCCCAGAGGAAAATGAGAGTTCCCCTCAGAAGGCGAGGCTGGCAGGCCGATGTGGTGGGCACAGAGGGCTCTTTTCTCCTGTCTCAGTACCGGGCAGGGTCAGGAAGTCTGAGGGGTTCCCTCACCTGGTGACTGTCAGCCGGTGGTTCTTCACCACCATTGTGGCATCTGGCTTTGTGGGATCAGAGCCCGGGTGGACATCAGACACTTTAAAGTCAAAGGGGTGGAAGAATTGTCCTGGGAATAAAAACATTCACACCATCAGCCCCTGCCATCACCACGGGTAACACGGCCTCGGCCAGGGTTGGTGCGCAGGCTGGCTGGGGTGCTGTGTGCTGGTTCATGGCTCTCCCTCTGCCACGTGTCCTGAACCACCTGAAGCTGGAACATTCCATACCCAGCAGCCCGTGTGTCTGTGCCGACATCCGGCGACTGTCCGCCACGTAGAAGCCCAGAAAGTCCTGGTGGACAGGATGTTTCTTCCACACCTGGTGCAGGACAACCACAAAGGTAACCCCATCGCCAAAGGAGACCACCATGTTCTCCTTCCTGTTGATCCTCACGGATAGCCTAGGAGAGACGCGGTCAGCAAGTGGGGCCCAGCAGCCATCACCCTGGGCAGCTGAACAAGGGCGTCCTGGCAGCGCCTTCCTGTATGTGCGCCTAAGACCACAGACTCTGGAAACTGTTTCGGGGGGATGCTCGTGTGGGTCCACCGTGCCGTCCCCTGCGTGGCTCCTTGCTTCTCTGGGCACAGGGGCGGGGCTGTCGTGGGAGTCTGGGGACGGGATTGAGCCCCAGCTCTGCTGCCGGCTTCCCGTGTTACCTCCTCCGAGCCTCAGGGGGAATAACTCCTGCCCTGCCCGCCCTGCACTGGGCGATTTGAAGACATGGGAGAGGCCAAGGAGCTGAGAGCTAACAAGTTCATCCAGGGAAAATTTAAGTGGGGATGATGGCCGTTGTCAGGTCGCCAGCTCATCTAATGCCTGTGTCCACACTTCACTTCCTGGAGGCCGGTCCTGGGGCTGTCCAGCCACCAGCTCAGGAGGGCAGGGCCTGAACCCCCCGAACCACCAGTCTCTCCTGTGAGCCCTGTGAATCTTCCATCCTGGGTTTGTCCAAATCCCTCAGACCCGCCGACCGGAGCGCCCCCCAGGGACCCAGGAGTGTGGTGTTACCCTTCCTGTGTGATGGTGACTGTGTCCAGCCAGCTGAAGGTGCTCTGTGCAGCCCCATTCCACAGGGCGACCTTCTCCGGGGTCACCTCGATCCGGAGGTCCATGGGGGCCCTGGCAATGCCCACTTTGCCAAAGTATGTCTTTGTGGCCTTGGAATCAGGGCTGTCTCTCTTCTCACCGATGATCTGCCCGTTGACTGTGAGGCCTGCCAGAGGGATGGGTCCAGAGAGACCAGCGAGGCTTCTGAGTCCAGGCTGGCCTTCAGGGACACAGCTCCCCTTCAGCAGGACTCGATGAGGGGCCGCAGGGCAGAGGCCCATGGAGAGACCAGGACTCCAGAGCCACCCCCGTCTGTCCTCGACACGCTTGGGTCAGCCACGTGGACCTGTCCCCTCCTGGGTCAGGCAGTGCTGTTCCAAGAAAAGTTGTTCTCTGCACACAGGTCAGCCTTAATCTGACTATCTCCACACCACAGCCCTGGGGAGGCTGGGTGAGCATGTGTCTCTGAACAGCCCCTTCCAGGATGTAATCTGCATTGAGAGGTGGATGCCCATGGGCAGAATGAGGACTTGCCCTTGTGCCTACTGGGGCTCCAGGCCTCGCCAGGAAAAGCCCCAACCCCCAGGCCTCACCTGTGACAGGGTCCTGAATGAGGCGCAGCACCGTGCCCGGGGCTTCATCGATGTTGAAGCAGATGGCATCGCCCTTCTCTGGGACTTGGATGATGAAGTGGGGGTCCCCGTCCACTGAGGGCACATCAGGTGGGGGCTGACTCTGGGGGCCTCTTACCATCCAGGGGTCTTCCCCCAAACCCTGGCCCCCGTGGGGCAGACTCCCAGACAGGCAGGAGGCACTGGGGCCCGGGCCTACTCACCGTAGTAGTAGGGGGTCTGAGGAGGCTGGTAGCTGGCTGTGGGTGCAGAGAGGCCTCAGCTCGGTGGGCGGGCCTGGAGGGGCACCAGGACTCCCCCCAGAGTTTGGCCCATGCCCCTCCCATTTCTGCTTCCCACCCCATTTCCTCAGGACCCCAACCAGCTGTTTGTCTCAAGAGCCAGTTCAGGAAAGACTCCAGAGCTGACTGGGGCCAGGCCTTGCTGCAGGTGGGGTGAGGGGCGGCAGCGGCCGGCAGGTACTCACTCAGGTAAACTGAGGAGGGAGTCACTGAAATAAAGCAAAGGGCAGCCGTGAGCTGTGTGTCCTGGGCTCACTCAGTCCCCCATGCACACCCCAATCCCAGCCTTCTACCTGTCTAAGGGCTCCAAGCCCCCAGTGGGGCCCCAACACTGACAGATCCAGGGTGGAGACATGACCCTAAGTTCAGGCTTGGGAATTGGAGGTATACCCAAGGAGCCCCTTTCTAGGACTGTTGGAAAGATGGGTGTGATTTTAATGCCAGGGGCATGGCATTTTGGCATGGCTAAAATGCAAGCCATTAGATCACAGACCATCATGAGTAATGCTCACAGCAGATACTGTCCCCGACCCAGGAACTCAGACCCCCACGTTGGGGTTGGGTGAGGCTCACAGCTGTCTGCCATCCTTGGGAGTAACACACCCACCCGCGCACACACACGCACATACACCAGGGACTGTACATTCGGCAGGGCTCTTCTGAGGGAAAGCGATGGCCCAGCCCAAACGTGCTGCTTGCACTGGGACCGTCTGCCCGTGTTGCTAGAGACGGGCAGGCTGTTGGGTTAGGGAAGCCCTGCCAGGGGCAGTGGCCTTGTAGGGGGTGAGGTGCCAATTTTATGTTGAGAGAGGCTCAGAATGCCATGAATCCCAGCCCAGTGCTGAAACCAGACTGCCTGGGCCAAAGTCCCAGCTTCGCCACCTGCTGACAGAGTCCTTGTGCAAATAGGCAAGCTCTATGTGACTCGGTTTCCTCGCTGTAAAAACCCTTAAAGGCTTGCTGTGGGATTAATGGAGTGTCAGTGCCCCGTGCAGGAAATGGATTGCTTTTTTTTCAGGTCACTGAATGAACGCTCTCAGACTGATCGCCCCTCCTTGGTCAGGAGAAGCCACCCCAGTCAACCAATGAGGACCCGGTAAGGCCCAGAGAAGGCAGAGCCCCACGCAGGGTTGCTCGTACATTGGCCGCAGAGCTGGGACTTGAGCCCGGGGTCCTGAGGGCCCTCTGTGGGCTGGGCATGCCCAGTGTCCTGTCTCCCCAGGGACGGCTCCCAGCTGCCGGCTGAAGCTTACCTGCGTCCACAGGCCCTGTGAGGGAGGGAGAGGGGACCTGTGTCAAGCCACAGACACCCACTGTCAGGGCCAGCATGACCACCTTGCTGCCTGTTCGGCAGCCAGGCAGCCAGCTGTGCCCCCGCTGTGTGTCCCCCGGAACCAGGAGGTCCTGGACCTGGCCTCCTATGCCTCCCCACACCCACACCGGCTTCAGGGGCACCAGGCCCCGCTCTTGGGATCTGGTGGAGAAGACCTGGTGCCAGCCTCCAGCTCTCCAGGCCATTTCCTCTGACACTCCCCGGGCGCAAGTGCCAGGCCTAATGTTCAGGCTGAAAGGGCTGCTGCTTCTCTAACTGAGCCCTTCCATGCTGCAGCCCACACCCCTTTCCTTGAAACGACCCTGGGCAGGGAGCCCATTTACTCATCCCCTTAGAGACTCAGAGGCTCCCATTCACCCCTATGCCCCACTGTCCACGCTGATGTCTTCCCCCCTGCACAGCGCCCTCCCCAGCCCTTGGCCAGTTTTCCTTTGATGCCCCCTGGGCCTGTCCCTCTCCAGCACATCTGGCCTCCCCAGCCTGGCGCTTTCCTCTTCTAGGCGCCCCAGGCCCCAAAGGAAGGCCTCCGAGCTCCAGCCTGCACTCTCTGCCCACCTTCCCCGGGCTTGTCAGCGATGGCCGTCTGGTCCTCACTGTCCTCGGGCTTGGTGACCACCATGGAGGTCAGTGGGGTCACAAAGTGGTACTTGAGGGACAGGTCCAGGGCCTGGGCCGTGAGGTTCTCCTTCTCCTCGCCATGGGCTTTCTTGCTGTGGGGAGGCGCAGAGCGGGACGCTCAGCCCCGAGAATGCTGCCTGCTTGCCCCTGCTCTGACTCTCAGAGGCAGCCGGGGTCCCTCACCCCAGGGGGAGCCCACTAGCATTCAGAAAAGACTGGTTCACCAGCCCCCCCGGAACAGGTGGACAGGCCGTGTTTCCTCTCTGGGCCTATAACACACAAGGGACCTGAAATGGCCACTACAGCAATCACCCTTGATAGTGTCCATATATTGAGCACACGCCAGACCCTGTGCCAGCAGCTGCCAGGCTTTTCCCCCAGAAGAAGGCTCAGCTGTGCTCAGCCTCACCATCACGGCGCATGCAGGGTGTGGGGTGCAGGGCGCTGAGGCCCGCCCCTGCCCTCAAGTTGCTTCCAGGCTGCTGGCTGAGCCCTGAAGCGGGGCTGGCCTCGGCCCCTGGGAAAGCATTCCGGGGGGCTGAGCCACGAGGAAGGCAGGCACCCAGGGTGCATGTGGGGAGCTCCCGGGTATGGCTGAGGCCTCCCACTCTGGGGCCCCCCAGAGCACAGCCA